AGTGTCGGGCCCTGGGAGACACTGTTTCGACACTCTTTCGACACTTTTTCGGGTGCTCGAAATTATTCCTGGGATGTGGTCCTTAAGTACGATGGGAGTAATGTATCACTCAGCAGGGATCCGGAGCCAGACCCCCCCCCTTTCAGGCCCCATGTCGAAACGCCGAATCAGAAAGCAGACGTTCATTTCCGGAGATCCGCGCAGAGTTGTCGGATCCGCCCTGGGGGTCCCTTGGCAGCGGTCCCGGCGTATCCCCTGACGCGCCCCGCGCGCCAGGGACGTGTGCATTTTTTCTCGGCGACGACCATCGAGGACGATCCTGGACCATCGAGCAAAAAAAGCACGCACGACACCGAAAAATGCACGGGAAATGGACGTCCGAGCGATACCGAGGGGAGGGGGGTCCAGCGCCGACCCAGAAGATCCGCGAAGGTCCGCGCGGACCTGCGACAACCTTGGGCCCAGGATCTTGGCATCGCACGGACGTGTGCATTTTTTCTCGGCGAGGACCATCGAGGAGCATCTTTGATCATTCAGCGAAAAATACACGCACGAACTCGAAAAATGCAGGGGGAATGGACATCCGAGCGATGGCGAGGGGTGTGCCTGGCCAGAGGGTCGGTGTCTGTGCGCATGCCTGGAATCTGACGTCGCGGAGAACTTGCAGCATTGTTGGAAAGTTGGAACCAGAACCTACGCCCCATGTTTGTGCTGCATTTCCCAGCCGGGTCGATCTGGTCCCGCGGACCGAAAACGGGCGAAAACGAGCGGTGTAACAAAAATTGCAACGCCCAGGTTTCAGGGCCGTTCTCCTACAGGACGCCCGTGCTGCGGCGGGCGTTCTTCGTGCTGTCGCTGCTTGCGTGGCTCTGCGCGCTCCTGAGCGCCCTCAAGCCTGGCGGCACGGAGACCATCCGCTCTTGAGACCGAGCGAAAAAGGCACGAACGTTGGCATTGTTCTTCCGCGGGTTTCGAGAATATTGCGAAGGCCTTACGGCCGGTGCCGCCGACCCTGAAGAAGACAACCCTGACCACTACGAGGTACAGGAATGAGAAGTACGGGACGCAGTAGGAGGGGGCGAAAACGACACCGAGGAGGTGGAGGAGGTACCTGGAGACCATCCGCTCTTGAGACGGAGCGAAAAAGACACGAACGTTTGCACTGTTCTTCCACGGGTTTCGAAAGTATTTACGCGTTGAGCGAGCGATCGTAGCACGAGGGTGGCCGCGCGGATCGGGGGAGCCCCCTGCGTACAGTGGAAGCCCATGCCAAGAAACACCTTGCTTGCCTCTAGGGTTCCCCCGGTTTCTTGGGTTTCGATGGTTTTGCCATGGAAAGCGTGTCGCACCCACACCAAACATTAAAATGGACATGGGGTTCCAGGGTTGGGCTTCCTGTGGAAGGCTTCTTGTGGTCGGGCCCCTACTGTGACAGCGCGCGTGCAAAAACGCCCATCCCTCAGAGGAGGAAGAGGTACCGGTATCGCTAGCGGTAGGTCGGGCGTGTCCCCCTACAGGCGGATTTGGGATGAAAAATGAAAGATACTCGAATCTTCCCAAAAACCATCCAACAATGGTCGAAACATCTTCCCCAGACTATTTTTAACTATTGTTGAGTATTCCTCATGTAGGGGGACAGGCCCGACATACCGCTAGCCTGCCTCGTCGCGAGAGGGCCGCGTTCGCCCCACGCTTCTGCACAAACACAAAAGAATCGCAGGCTTCCAGGAAGATCAGAGTGAGGGGGCCGAACGGTCATTCATTGTCCCTGGGTGCGTGGCTAAAGTGAGAAACCGTGGTGAGGATTATGCTTGTTGCGTTGTTGGTATTGGTATTGTTGTTGCTGTTGCTGCTGTTGCTGCTGTTGTTGCTGTTGCTGTTGCTGTTGCTGTTGCTGTTGCTGTTGTTGTTGTTGTTGTTGTTGTTAGTAGTAGTAGTAGTAGTAGTAGTAGTAGTAGTAGTAGTAGTAGTAGTAGTAGTAGTAGTAGTAGTAGTAGTGTTGTTGTTGTTGCTGTTGTTGCTGCTGCGGTTGTTGTTGTTGGTGGTGGTGTGGTTGTTGGTGCTGCTGTTGTTGGTGGTGTTGTTGTTGGTGTTGTTGTTGGTGTTGGTGTTGGTGTTGGTGGTGGTGGTGGTGGTGTTGGGGGTGTTGTTGTTGTTGTTGTTGTTGTTGTTGTTGTTGTGTTTGTTGTTATTGTTGTTGTTGTTGTTGTAGTTGTTGTTGTTTGTTGTCGTCGTCCCACCCGCGACCCACCCGCCACCCCACCCGCGACCCGCCCGCGACTCCACCCGCCCGCGACTCCACCCGCGACCCACCCGCGACTCACCCGCGACCACCACGCGACCCTCCCGCAACCCACCCGCGACCCACCCGCGACTCACCCGCGACCACCACGCGACCCTCCCGCAACCCACCCGCGACCCACCCCCGACCCACCCGCGACCCACCCGCGACCCACCCGCGACCCACCCGCGACCCAGCCCGCGACCCAGCGCGACCCACCCGCGACCCACCGCTGCCCCACCTGCGACCCAACCCGTGACCCACCCACATTGTTTTAACAAAAAAATCGGCGCCTGCGGCGGGTTCGTTTTATAGCTTGAAAAATTATGCGCCTGCGGCGGGCTTCTTCAGAGCCTCGCAGACTGCCGACGTACCCGCCGCCCCCTCACTCCTATCCGCAACTGCGGGGTGCTACGTGTGAGAGAATGTGGGAAGTTGGGGGGAAGACGAAACTCCCGAAAATATAAGAAAACATTGGGAAGAGTTGGTATTTGTGTGTATTTTTCTGTGTGTCCCTGGGCCCCTTCAGGGTGCTCCTCTCCCAGAGCCTGGCCAGAGGCAAGGCCTGGGGCGCAGCGGCGTCGTGGTTGCTCGGTGCCCCCCCCCTTCTGTGGTGAGAGGCAGGTGCACACTGCGACGCGAAGGTGATGTGGGAGTGAGTCGGAGGTTGATAGACCTCCTCCAAATCCCTTATTCATCGACCCCCCCTAAAAAACCGGACCCCCCTCCAAATGCGACTTGATATTCCGGACCCCCCCCTTCGACGGGGCGCCTTGATAAACCAGACCCCTAAGCTCCGGTCCAAAGAAAACGCCTTCATAAACCTGACCCCCCCAGGCGCCTTAAAAAACCAGACCCAGGGGACGTTTAAAAAGGAATTTGGAGTACCCTGACACGTCGAATTGGCCGTGTTCGGTACGCGAGAGGTCGTCGCGGCCGTCATTTTTGGCGGGTCCAGGTCAGTCGGTTTCGGTCCTCGGTTGTTTTCACTAAAAGGGAGGTTTACTGACGGGAGGTTTGTCCACCGCCGAGTGGGTGGAGATGGTGATGTTCTTTCTCTCGTGTCTATGCCGTCGCCCTCGCAATCACGCACCCCAGCGTTGTGCACCAGTCTGTGTCTGATCTATACATACTTACAGATTCAAGACTGCAGTGGCGCTTAGCGCCATGCACTTTGGTCCTTGAAGTTTGGTATGCAGGCGGAATAGCAGGAAGGTCAAGCCGACAGTTTAGCGATAACTCGTTGTTGCCTTTTCCGGCATCGCCGCTATGATAATGTTATTCGTTATCTGTCCTTCATGTGTATTTTTTTTTAAGTGTTCGCCATACCTTGCGCATTCTCCCCATCCTCCTCAGCTCTTTTTTGCGGAGGCTCCTCCTGGGAGAGCCTCTGGGGCCCTCACAAAAGTTGTTTCAGGCTTTCTTAAGGCCTTCTGGAGGCTTCCTGGGCGAATTCTGGGTGCCTCTGGGGGCTTCCTCGGGCCACCCTGCCTCCAGCCGCGGTCTCCCTGAACGACCCAGTCACGATTTGGAATACTTCGGAGGGCGTCTTGGGGCCATTTTGGGCCGCCACGGGGCTCTTTGAGGGCCATCTTGGACCCGTGTTGTGCCGTTGTGGGGCTCTCTTGGACTGCCTGGAAGCCCTTTCGCATGGTTGTGGGGCGATTTTGGAGCCTTCCAGGCGGCTTCGGACGCCCAGAAGACCGCCGTCTTGGAGTGTCGGTAAGCCTAAAAGAGGAGAACCCAAAAGTTCACCTAAAACCAGCAGAAAATCAATAATGATTGCCTTTTGGGGCCTTCTTGGGAGTGCTCTTGGAGGCTTTTTGAGGCCTTTGGGTCCGTCCTGGAGGCCTCTTGGGCCATCTTGAGGTCACGTCGGTCACTCTTGGAGCGCTGTTGTGCTGTCTTGGGGGTCTCTGGGACGTCTCCGATGACCCCCCTGATCGCCCTAGGTGTGCTGGGAAGGCTTGGCAAAACGCCCTGCGAGGCCCGGGGGGGCGCTTCGAGGCCCGTCCGGAGGGTCCCAAAGCCCCAGATCCCGGAAGTCCGGTTTCGGCGGGGCGGGTCCCCCCGCCCGGGCTTATGAACATATAGGAAGGGGTATCTCTCCCTATATATATATATATATATATATGTGTATTATGTTTCACTGTGGAATGCAGAGCAGCGTCAGAGAGTGGCCGCAGGTTTGAATGAGTTTCCGTGACAACAACACTATTGAAACCTTTGCCGTATCCGTTTAAGCTCGAGAGCTTGTGCTGGAAAGTGCTCCACGGGCGGTGCCAGCGGGGAATGCAGACGGCGCTGGCCGAGGCGGTGGTGCGGGAGACGCTCCACTGGGTCGGCCTGTCGCAGGTGCTGGCAGCGAGCAGGTGCCCAGAGGTGCCTGTCTGCCCCGCGGTGCCGGCCTGTCCGCCGCTGCCGGAGATCCCCAGCTGCCCGGCCTGCCCCGGCGCTCCGCCAGCGCCGCCGCGGGCCACCTCGTCGCACGGCCCCGCCTGGCCTGTGCTCCTGGGGGCTTTCGTCGTCGGGGGGCTGGTGGTCGCCGCCGTCTTCGGCGTGGCGGGGAGCCGGGCCTGCTCGCGACGGGCGAGCCCGCCGCCCACGACGCCAGCCGCGGAGGATGGCCGCGGCTGCGCCGCCGGCACTGCCGCCCCCAGCCCTGGACGAGTGGGCCTTCGTGCTGTACACTGTGCCGGGGGCCCCAGTCTACCACCAGCGCCGGGTAGTGGGCTGCCGGCGCGGGGTGTGCTCGGCGACTGAGCTGGGCCGAGTGCTGATCGCGACGCCCGACCTCGACGTGTACGAGGAGGACTATCGAGCAGGATCGATGGGCGTGGATATTGCGCGAGTGGTTTTCAATCCTGCGAGGTGGCCGCCCCCAGCAACAGTGCCACGCGCCCATGTGTACAGGTTCCGAGACGAGCCCACTGGCCAGGAGTATGCAGCTATGCGGGCAGCCGCCCGCTCCGAGGCCGAGAGGCTTTGGGTTGCCGACGACAGAGCGGGCGGCGGCCCAGGAGCGCCGATCCCAGACAACGAGTTCGTGCCGTTCGAGTCGATCGCCGGCGTGATGGCTGGGGTCGGCGGGGCTGCCGGGCCAGGGGCCGCGCCTGCGGGGGCCGCGCCTGCGGGGGCGGTGGTGCCGCTTGCGGCCTGGCCCGCAGCGCCGGCGCCCATCGCGGGCGGCCCCGCGCCAGGCCTTGCGCTGGCGCCAGCCCCGCCCGCGGCAGCGGCACCCGCTGTGCCCGTCGCCGTGGGAGCCCCCGCCGCCGGCGCGGGTGCGGCCGCAGGCGCGGCGCCCCAGGGGCGGCCGCCGGCCATCCCCGATGGCCTGCCGATCGCCGTCCCGGCGAACGGCCTGGCCCCCCTGGGGTGGAGCTGGCGCGCGCTGGAGGACCTGACGGGGCTTGTGGCGTACGGTGACGCGGTGGACATCGGCGCGGCGGGGGGCCCCGCCCTCGCCGGCGGCGCCGGTCGCCGCCAGGTGGCCCTCCTGCCCAGCGGGCACTCGGTCTTCGTCGCCCTGGTGGCGGACACGGAGATTGAGCACCTCAAGCGGGAGTTCAGGGGCTCGGATGCACGGACGCTGCTTGTGGTGAGGACCGCGATCGGCAGAGAGCGGTCGGGGGCCTCGGTCGTCACCGACTGCCGCGAAGAGGATGTCCAGGACTTCGGCGTGAAGGCCCCAAGGTCCGTGAAGTGGTGCGCGGCCTACCAGCAGCGTGACGGCGGGCCTGTGCTCCACTCGGAGATGTGGAAGAGCCGGCGCCGACTGCAGGACAGCGACTTCGGGGTGGCCGAGCACGAGACGCTGAGCAAGGTGGTCGAGCTGCTTGGCACCACCGACAGGTGGACATATACAACCTGGCGGGAGTAGAGGTCGCGCACCGGAAGCTCCAGCTGATCGAGCACTACTGGGACGAACGACGGCAGGAGCAGCAGCCGGCCAACTCCAAGCTGCCGCTGGACGAGGTGCAGGCCTTCATGGGAGGAGGCCGAGCCGCCATCATGGCGCGTCCTGAAGCGCTGGACCAGGTGGCGAAGAAGCTGGAGAGGATCGCAGGCATCAAGAAGAACGCGAGGAAGTTGCGGGAGGAGCAGGCCGCTTTGGCCAAGAAGGCTCCTCCCGCGAAGGGATGATGCAGCAGCCGCCGCCGGGACTCCCCGACCCGTGCGGCGTGACCGAGGGGATCGTGGCGGCTGGGGGGGACCGCAACCGGTCGCTGCTGCCGCTGCCGCTGCCAGCCTGGTGCTCGACGGCGGCTGGGCGCACTGGCGGGCGTCGCAGCCGAGGCCGTGCTGCTGGGCGGGCGCGCCAAGCGGGGCTGCTCCGTGACCTGGTTCAGACCTTGAACCAGATGGACGCTGGCGAGGATCAACTTCGTCGACGGCCCTTGGCGACACCGCGTCGCATCCAGGAGCTGGCGCTCGAGCACCTCACCAGCTGCCGTGCAGAGCTGGGTAGCCCACCGCCTGACCTCACCGCCGACGCGGCCCTAAGGGAGCTGCAGGTCAGTCCAGCTTATGGCGCTGAAGAGCCCCAGACGCTGGCCCCTTTGGCATTCGACCTCGTCTCGCTGCCGAAGGCGGGTGCGATCGCGCGCCCTCTGGAGGATTTGCTCGGGCGGAACGGCCCCGATGTTGTCGAAGCTTTTCTCGACGGCAAGGTTTTGCCAAGTCGGCTCGCTGCGGAGCGGAAGGCTGAAGCAAAGGTTTCCAAGCCCTACCTCGATCCCTGCCTGCGTGACCCAGCCCGTCGGGCGGTGTTTGCTCGACGTTTGCTGGACGCTGGCATGCTCGACCTCGTTCCCGATTCGTTCGAAGTGCGAGAGGAAGTGGGCTTGTTTGCGGCGTGGAAAAAGAATGGTTCGCCGAGGCTGGTCGTTGACTGTCGAGGCAGCAACTTTCATTTTGAAGATCCCGAGCACGTATCTTTGGCATCGGGTGCTAGTCTATCTTCCATTGAGATTCCAGAAGGAAAAAATATGTGGATGTCAGGCGTTGATATTTGTGACGCATTCTATCACATGGGTCTTCCCTCCGCCCTCCGCCCCGTCTTCGTCCGCCCTTGCGTCCGGGCTGGAGACCTCGGGATCACTGAGCTGGAGGGACAGCCTCTCGGTCCTCGTGATTGGGTTAGGCCTCGCTTTGCAGTCCTTCCGATGGGGTGGTCCCACGCTCTAGCTTTTTGTCAGCGTGTGCATGAGACTGCGTTGTGTGAGCGTGCGGGTTTGGGGGATAGTGATCGTCTTGTCGACGGTCGGGTCCCACCTCCGCTGAGCAGTGGGATGCACGCCGAGTGCGTTGATAATTTTTTAGGCTTCGCCACCTCCGCCGAGCGGGCCAACGAGCTCCTGGCTAAAGCCACGGAGTCGCTGTCCGCTGCTGGTCTGCCTCTGCATGAGCCCGAAGAGGCCTCCATGGCTTTTGAAAGTCTCGGGTGGGAATTCGAGGGCTCTCGGGGCGTCCTGAGGCCGCGGGCCCGACGGCTCTGGCGTTTGAGGATAGGGACCCTGGCCCTTCTCGAACGGGGAGTGGCCACAGGTAGACAGGCGAGTAGGATCGTAGGTCATTTCACTTTTGCGGGACTCGCTCGGGGGCCCTTTCTGTCAATCTTCGATTCAGTTTATCGTTTCGCCACTAAGTACAGAGACGATGCTCGTCCGTTGTCGGATGGAGTTCGCCGGGAGCTTCGCTGGGCCGTAGGTCTCTTGCCGCTCTTATGGGCAAATCTGCGGGCCGAGTGGGAGACACGTGTGCACGCCACAGATGCTAGTGAGCAGGGGCGCGGGGTCGTGCAGCGGGAGGTGGCCCTCAACTGGGCGCGGGCTCTGGGCCAGGAGAGTGATCGCTGGAGGTTTCGCGGGCCGCCCGGGACTGCCGGGCCAGTGCGGCCCAGGGGCTGCCTGGACGAGGAGGCGCCGATGGGCCCGCGAGGGCCCAGCCCGGTGCTCGACGTGCCGGCGGCGGTGCTCGACGGGGAGTGGCAGGTCGTGTCGAGCGGGGGCTGGGGACGTCCTGAACACATCGTGGTTCTCGAAGGTCGGGCCCTCGTTCATGCCGTACGTCACGCCCTGAGGGACAGCCGAATGTTCGGAAAGCGGGTGCTCTTCCTGTCAGACAGCCTGTCATCGGTGTTGGCTCTTACCAAGGGTCGGTCCTCGTCTCCTGGCCTGATGCGGGTCGCCCGGCAATGGGCGGCATGGTGCCTCGCGGGGGCGCCCGTGCCGACGCTGCGCTGGCTGCCCTTGGAGCGCAACCCTGCGGATGCCCCCTCGCGGCGGCACGTGCCCATCGGCGTCCGCCTCCCGTTCGTCTGTGGCGCCGACTCTGTCGAGGGGAGCCGCTGGCCTGTTCGTGACGGAGCCGAGGGCAGTCACCGCCGTGACTGCCAAGCCGTTGCTGCGGAGCTCCGCGAGCTGGACGCCGACGGCCCCGCCAGAGGCGGCCTTGCCGCGCGGCGACGGCGGCAGCCCGTGGCCCCCGTCAGGAGCGGGGACAAAGCGGCGCCTGCCTGCAGCTCGCCGGCCGCGGGCTGCCGCGCCGAAGGCCGAGCGGCCGCCGCCTCAGTTCGGCGCGCGCCGGGCGCGAGCTCAGCGGCGCCAGAAGCAGGAGGCCTCGCGGGGGGCTCCCCCGGCGGGGCGGACTCGCCTGCAGCAGCGCTCGGTGACTGCGCTGACTCTGGCCAAGTACGAGCGGGCCTGGCGCCGCTTCCTCGAGAGGCGGCGTCTGGCGCGCGGGCCCGAGGCAGCGCAGCTTCGGGAGCGCGAGGCTCGAGGGGCGACGTTCGAGGACCACCTCGACGACTGGCTGGCGCTCTGGATGGACGAGGAGTTCCTGAACGGCGAGCAGGCGTACGTCGGGTCGCAGATGATGGCCGTGGCGAAGTTCCACCTGCCTGCCTTCGGCAAGGCCGGGGGTCGCAACCTGCCGCGAGCGGGGCAGTCGCTCCGCGGGTGGCGCCGGCTCGCGCCGGGCCGCGCGCGTTTTCCGTTACCGTGGGAGGCGGTGGCGCTGCTCGCGGCGCAGCTGGTGCAGGACGGGTGCTGGACGACAGCCGTGCTGGTGGTGCTGAGCTTCCACTGCTACTTCAGACCCAGCGAGGGTTTCAAGCTGAAGCGGGAGATGATGGTGCCGCCCCTCAGGGGCAGCCGGTACGGCAACTGGTCGCTGGTGCTCCACCCGTTCGAGTTCACGGTCGCGATCAAGACGCGCCAGTTCGACGAGACCGTGGTCGTGGACGCGCCAGACTTCAAGCTGCTCTTCGACCCCGCGCTGGCGTGGCTGAGAGCCAGCACGCCGCCCCAGCAGTGCCCGTTCGCCTTCAGCCAGGCCGACTTCATCCAGAGGTTTCGCCTGGCCGGGCAGCGGTGCGGCATCGAGATGCTTCGGCCCGAGCTGTACATGCTGAGGCACAGCGGCCCCTCCTTCGACCAGGCCATCGGCAGACGCGCGCTGGCGGAGATAAAGCTGCGCGGGCGTTGGATGAGCGACGCCGCCGTGCAGCGATGCCGCAAGGAGGGCCGGGTGTCAGAGCAGCTCCACCGACTGCCCGCGCCCGCGCTGGCAAAGGCGATGGGAGCTCCCGCGCGCTTGCAGACTCTCCTAGGGCGGCCTTCGACCGCCTCCTTTCCGCCCACCGCGGGGCGAGGCAGCGACCGCAGGTCTTTCTAGAGATCTTCAGCGGCTGCGGGCGCCTCGCCGCCGAGCTCAGAAAGCTCGGGCACCTGGTGCTGGAGTGGGACGTGCTGCGGGGCCCGAGCTGGGACCTGATGCTGAAGCCCAACCAGCAGCTCATTCGCGGGTGGATCGCCGGGGGACTGATCTGGGGCGCGCACCTGGGAACGCCCTGCAACACCTGGAGCCGGGCCCGCGACTGGGGCCCGGACCCTGCAACACTCTGGGGCCGGGACCCGCAGAGGCCGCGGCCTGGGCCGCCCTCCAGGCTCAGGAGCGACGAGCACCTGCTCGGCCTCCTAGACTTGCTGCATCCTGCGGACCTGGAGGCCGTCCGGGTGGGCAACGAGCTGGCCAGGCTGAGCATCAGCATCCTCGAGCAGCTCAAGCACCAGCAGCGCCCCGTCACCCTGGAGAACCCAGTGACCTCGCGGCTCTGGCTGCTCCCACGCCTTCTCAAGGCCAGAGCGTGGCGATCGGCCGCTTGCATTGACACTTGCTTTTGCATGTCCGGCGAGAAGTGGAAGAAACCTACAAGATTCTTAGGCTGCCGCATCGACCTGTCCAATATCCACAAGAAGTGTATTGGCCGACGCTGTTGCCGAACTGGATTGCCACATCTTACCTTGTCTGGTTTCAACGGCCCGCGTGGATGGTTGACAAAGAAAGCTGAGAAATATCCCATTGAGTTGTGCTCCCACTTGGCCCGCGCTTTTTCGAATGCACGTGCAGCCTCTTATATCTGACAAGCTTCCCGCGTGTGGTTAGGCTGACGCCTCAACACCGCCCGTGGGGGGGGGATAGCCCTACCCACCAACCCTGAGATGCCAAATTTTGGTCAAGTGCGGAAGTAGTCGTGCCCTCCCGGATCCCGCGAGGCTTGCAGCAGCTGCAGTCGGCCTCGACTTGGGTCCACGGCGCACTTGCCTTTAAACACCGGCGGTGAGAGTTCCGCCGCAGCAAAACGTGCGGGAAAAACGATCGTCTGTCTGCCGTTTTTTTGTGAATCCGTCTTGGCCACGGGATAGAGCTGCTTAGGCATGTATTCTGTTTCACTGTGGAATGCAGAGCAGCGTCAGAGAGTGGCCGCAGGTTTGAATGAGTTTCCGTGACAACAGCACTATCGAAACCTTTTCCGTATCCGTTTAAGCTCGAGAGCTTGTGCTCCCAGCCCACCCTCCCAGGAAGTAGTCGTGCCCTCTCGGATCCCGCGAGGCTTGCAGCAGCTGCAGTCGGCCTCGACTTGTTGGGTCCACGGCGCACTTGCCTTTAAACACCGGCGGTGAGAGTTCCGCCACAGCAAAACGTGCGGGAAAAACGATCGTTTGTCTGCCGGTTTTTTGTGAATCCGTCTTGGCCACGGGATAGAGCTGCTTAGGCATGAAAATGTGCATACATACGTGCATACATACATATACATAACTCAGCAAGCGTTAACTCCA